AATTAAAGGATAATGAGCGTGAGAAGCAGTGTTTTTGTCGAATGATCGCGTGAGCATCGTAATACGGGATACTATCAAGTTGCAAGGTCGTGGAGCTGGGCCGAGGTCGTCGTCGTCGATCAATTAAACTAAGTAATTCTCACGCGTGGCTACCATTCGCTAAAATCTCGAGAGGCCACCATTGGCGCACACGCTAATGATAATACATGGCTTCGCTCCGTCGGTCGGTCGGCCGCTTTCCATCCTCGTTTCAGACGTGCACGGTAAGCATCTGGTGCGGGCTCGCCGCTGCCGCCGCTGCTGCTGCCGCCACCGCCGCTACCGCCGCCGCCGCCGTCGTCGTCGTCGTCGTCGACATTGCCTGACTGGTACCTGGCTGATGGTGGGCCCCGGCGTACGGTGGCTCCTGTAGCCGTGGCTTACTGTAGGGCTTGTGGGGGCCCTCCTCGTAGCTGAAGCTCGCGGTGTTGTTGCGCATCTCGGCGCAGGGCGGCTTGTAGAGGGGCGGCAGCCTGTGCCTGCTCTCCTCGCTCACCATCTCGAGGCCCTCCTCGCCGGTGCCGAGGCCCGCGAGCGACGGCCCGGATAGGGGCCGTACGACCGAGACCCGAGGCTCACCGTCCGGCTCCTTGAGGGGATTCGCGTATCGCCTGAGATTCTCCTCGTTCTGCAGATTGTTGGACTTCTCGTCAAGGTCCAGCCGATGCCTGTGCAGCGACGTCTCGCTGCTCGTCGTCGCCGTGAGACCGGAGCTCCGTCGCGCCGAGCGCAAGCACCACAGTCCCAGCATTACGGCCAACAGCAGACCCGCCCCCGCGGCACCACCGAGGGCCGCGAGGTAGCCACCACCGGCACCGGGCCCGGCCCCGACACCGCTACTCAGCAGCGCGGTCTCGACCTTGACCTCGAGTACCGAGGCAAGGGCGAGAGGCCGGCTGAGGGCTTCACCGAGATCGCGAGCTGCCGCGGCGGCCGCCTCCGAGAAGGCCGTCACTTCGATCGTGTCGTTATCGCCGGGCTTGAGGTCGCAGAGTAGCACCACTGTCTGGGAGCGTCGGGGATCCGCGAGCAACCGCCTGAGTCGCCTGCAGAGTAGCTCGACCGAGGTGCCGGGTGCGAGGGCGTCGCGACGCAAGAGGATCGTCAGCCGGGCGCAGGTTGGCCCGGGCGTCGCTTGGCCGGGCCAGCAGGAGGGCGGAGCCGGCAGAGCAGGCGGGCCCACGCGGCGGCCCGTCTCGACAGGGCGGCACTCGGCCCAAGGGGCGCAGGGTGCGACGAGGCAGCTCTCGCCGGGCGCGGGGACGCAGACTTCGTGGGCGAGGCAGGCAGTGCCGTTGAGGCAGTTACCGGGGCCGCACCAGACGCTGCTGCAGTGACTCTGGCCGCCGCGGCACTCGCAGGCGTTGCAGTCGTCGTCCCAGCCGGGAGCCGGGCACCCGGGTCCGCCGGGGGCGCGAAGCTCGCAGCGCGGTCCGGTTCGCCCGGGTGGGCAGAGGCAAGAGAAGCCGGCGATGCCGTCTACGCAGGTGGCGCCGTGGGCGCAGGGGTCGCTCGCGCACTCGTTTACGTTTATGCGGCAGTCGGGGCCGGTGAAGCCGGCCGCACACTCGCAGCGGAACCAATTGACGCCGTCGACGCAGCGGCCGCCGTTGAGGCAGGGCAGCGGCTGACAGTCGTCCACGTCGCGTCGACAATTCGGGCCTTCGAAACCCTCACGGCAGATGCAGCGATAGCCGCCGTCGGCGCTGTTTACGCAAGTCGCGCCGTTCTCGCAGGGTCCGGAGGCGCAGGCTGGCGAGGCGATGTGACACGCTGCTCCTTCCCAGCCCGGCGGACAGTGACAGGCGAAACCGTCGCCGCGGTCCTGGCAGGTGCCACCGTGTCGGCAGGTCCCGGGCTCGCAGTGGCCGCCCCGTAAAGCGCACGTCTTCCCCTTCCAGCCATTGCGGCAAATGCAGCTGAAGTCGGCGAGGCCGTCGACGCAGGTCCCATTATTCCGGCAGGGGGAGTTGGCGCATTCGTCTACGTCTATAAAATTTCGTCGTCAGCTGATTTTGGGATGGCAATATGGAGGATAATGATTATTCGCTAGAGTCACCATGGGAGTTTATAAAGTGTCTCGTGCTTATAATTATTAATAAAGTACCGTGATGTGAGTGATTTATGTTTTTGTGGGAGCGCCTGGACAGGGCAGGAGGGGGGGGGGATAACATGACCTCGAAAATCTCTCTTAAAGGTAGTAGAGTGCTTAGTAGAATGGACTGGGAAAGCTTGCATTAAAGTTGAAGGAGGATGGAGCGAAAGGGTTGAAAGATTGCGCTTATAAGTAAGGTGGCGGGAATGGGGTAGGGGGTGGGGAGGTGTTCGTCACTCACCTTGGTCACAGAGGTCGCCAGTCCAGCCTTCCCTACAGATGCACTGGAAAGAGTTGACGAGGTCGACGCAAGTGCCTCCGTTGAGGCAAGGATTGGCCCGACAGTCGTTGATGTTCTCGTGGCAGTGCACGCCCGTGTATCCCGGATCGCAAATGCACTGACCGGCGCTGCATCTGCCTCTGCCGGCGCAGGGCGTACCCTCGCTGCCGCAGCCGAGGCTCTCATCAAGGAGACTCAATTGAGGATTGTGTGCCGCAGGCTCCGAGCAGTTCTTACCCTGCCATTGAGACGTGCAGTGGCAGTAGTAGTCCGTTTGCGTATTGAAGCACTGGGCCAGATTTCTGCAGGGGTTGGGACTGCAATGGTCGCGGTCGATCTCGCACTGATAGCCCGTGTAGCCGACCGGACAGACGCACTCGTAGGCATCAACGAGGTCACGGCACTCGCCGCCGTTCTGACAGGGCTTCGAGGCGCACTCGTCAATGTCAATTTCGCAATCTTTGCCGGAGTAGCCGGGAGTGCAGGAGCAGTGGTAGTCGTTCACTAGGTCGATGCAGAGCGCGTCGTGCTGGCACTGGCCGACGCAGTCGTCGATGTTGCGTGTGCAGTTCTTGCCAGTGAAGCCGCTTCGACACTTGCATCTGTTGACACAATAACCGTTCGGTCGGCATGTAATAGCCCGCTCTCTCTCTCTCTCTCTCTCTCTCTCTCTCTCTCTCTCTCTCTCTCTCCCCCTCTCTATTGTTAAATAATTCGTTTGAAAGTTCCCTTACAAGCTGATCCAAATAAAATGTCAATAATGTCACCAAATATTAATGCCTCCGATTCTTATATAAATATGGCATGTGGCCGAATACTTGCAATGGATTTCAATAATCTCAATTTAACCCTTTTAATGTTGAAATTATAAATTAATAATCTTATTGACCGCTTCTAAAGTATATTAAAGAATAAAGCAGAGTTACGATTTAACATTTGACTATTCGTAAATCGATAAATAGCAGCAACTCGGTCGAGCTAAATACTCGATTGTACGAGCACTTAGTGAAATCCACGAACCCGCGAGATGCACGTGCGTCCAAGTTCACTTGAAGATGAGGAAGCTTGCGCGTAGCATTCTTGCGTCGGCGCAATCGAGGTGATCGTGGCAGTCTTCGCGCCATTATTAACTGCATCTCTCTTTTTCACTCTCTCTCCCCCGCCGCCAATTACAACGACATAATCCCAGAGGGTCGTAGCTCGTAATTTTCCGGCGTACCCACGGAGCTCTCTCTCTCTCTCTCTCTCTCTCTCTCTCACTCACTCACTCACTCACTCACTCACTCACTCACTTACTGTCCAGGAGGCTTCGAAGCGCGTGGCGGGAAGGGCTGGCTTGTGAACAAGGCGCCTACGGAAAATCGCGACTCCTGCTGGCAGCAAGTAGTAGTCTTGCCAGTCTCTCCCTCCCCCCTATCAAAGACGCGCGCGTTGCCATCTCGCGTTTCCTCCCCGCTGTCGCAATGGCGACTACTTCTTGTTATCGCGCGCGTGCCTCAACGGGGCGCCTGCCTCTAGCGCTTTTAATGAGAACCGGTGCTGGGACGGCGGACCGGAGACGTGGACGACGACAATGGGAACGATGACGCAGAGAAGCTGCACCCAGGAATACGTTGAAATGTCATCCGGTAATTGACGCTTTCAGCTGAAGTTGAGAGAGAATTTTAAAGGGCAACGGGGTAGATGCGGTGGATAGTAGTCCGTCGACCCCCCCCCCCTCGCGTGTTAAGATGGAAGAATTTATGTCAGCTGGCCAAGAGAGTGGTGAATAACCTTTCGCTAATTAAATTGTTGCAATTAATTATGCCTTTAAATGACAGCGACGGGGGTTTTTCCCTTTTATTCATTCGCCGGTTCTGTATGAGGAGATTGTTGATTTTTAATGATCTTTTGTCGAGCCTAATTAGCATTAATTGGCAGAGAATTTTTGTTTTTTGTTTTTTATTTATTTTATTTTTTATTTTTTAACCGGACGTTCGGTAGGTCCGGTAACGTTTAATAAAGTAACGTTTATTATTAATGCTCTTTGACTTTAATAAAGAAAAGATTTCTACGGATTTTGCCTACAATTATCATGACGATTGCCGACGAGCATAACTGGCTTAATTAAGATCCTGGGAAATATCGAAAGTGCGATACGATTTGTTTATTTTACGTTTTATGTCTCAATATGTATTGCCGAGAGCGTAGTTAAATTTTTATTTTCTTGATATAAATACGTGGCCAATTCTTCGGGCGATGCTTCCCGCGTACATATTATTGGCAAATTTAATAAAAATATAATATGAAGAAGAAGTTTATACTTACTAATCTTGTTTAAGGCAAAATTAAAAAAATGATAAAAAAAAAACGCAGCTTACAATTTATCATATCTCGTTAATGCGGGGGGCTTTAATTTACAATTTAGAAAAATTCTTACTCTGTCGGATGATTTATTATTTCAAAGGCACTCGTCGTCTCGGTCGATCGCAATAAAAAAAAAATACTATTTTTGTTTTTTCCAATACTAATAAAGTGGACCCTAACGCGTCAACGAGCAATATTAACTGCTTAACATATATCGATGTACTTTTAATTAGTTAATAATTTAAAGATGCAAGCAAGATATGCATCGTAATGTATAATTGTGATTGGAAAATACAGGCTCCTACGGTACTCCTACGGTATGTTTTAAGCTTCCGTCGGTTCGTTGCTTACGAATCGCAGTTTCACAGTTTAGCAGTTTCGGAATTTCGCAGTTTCAAACGGGCGTTTAACGAAATCGTTCTCTTTATAAATTATAATTAAATTATTTGAGAGCCTCGTTCGCGTGCAATTTTACAGCGATGTAAATGATAAAATCGTCCCGAATCGTCATCAACGTCATTATCGAGTAAATGAAATGAAAATCAGATTTGTAGCTACATTAACTTAAGTCAATGCCTAAAATGTATTATTTAGCGAATCGAACTATCAGCCATCTGTATGATAATGAATAATAGTAGTAAACAAAGGTGGAGGTGAGACTTACGTGTAGTCCCCGGCGTGGTTGTAGCACGTGATGGAGTTCTTACAGGGCGACTCCTTAAGGGCGCACTCGTCGACGTCAAACTGGCAGGTGGTGCCCTGCCAGGCGGGTGGGCAGTTGCAGCTGAATGAATTCCTGCCGTCGACGCAGATGCCACCGTTGAGGCACGGCTGGGAGGCGCACTCGTCGATGTCCGTGGCGCAGAACGAGCCCGTGAAGCCCTCGGTGCAATTGCATATCGCGGTCTCGCCTACCTCGGTGCAACTCGCCCCATTGAGACAGGGGTTGGCCGCGCACGGGTTGTCCACCTTCTCACAGGTCGGTCCGGAGAAACCCTCGGGGCACGTGCAGCGGTACTGATCCGGCGCTGTATTCTCGCAGGTGCCGCCGTTCTGACAGGGCTCGTGGGTCCCGCAATAGTTGAGGTCCTGGTCGCAGAGGATGCCACCCCAGTTGGTGTCGCAGATACACTGCCAGCTCGAGCCGTTACAGTAGCCGTGTTTGCAGCCCGGGTAGGGTGTGCACTGATCGCAAAGCTCGCCCCGCCAGCCGTGTCGGCACTTGCACTCACCGGAGACATTGCAGTGGCCGTGCACAGGATGGCAGCCCTCCTTACATACAGCTGGAACAATGACAAACGCTACAGGTAGCTTATTTCTCGATTATGGAGGTATCGACAATTTATTATTGAAAGCCTGATATTTCGTTGGGCGAGTAGGCTTTAATGTTGACGCAGTTAAAGTTGTTGTATTTACAACTCAAAATATAGAGTATTTAGATATTTCTAATCCCCAAGTGTTTATACCACTTCATACCTTTTAATTATTGAGTTATGCATTATAAATAGCCGTTTTGAAAAAATTAGTGAAAAAATTAAGATATTGGTATTGTATTACGTGAACATCTTTACTAAACTAAAAATTCCAATTAATAAATATCCCACGAGTATTCTTTAATTCTCAATCTATAGTTTCAACTATATTCAAAACAATAAAAAGGACACAAAAAAAAAACAAGTGCAACAATATTTCATAATATAAATGCTCCCAAAGTATTTGAGTTTCTGAATCGACGTAAAATACTTTCTACAATAGTAAGACATATCAGCAAAAGACATGCGGTAACGTAAGTTTTTCTTTTTCCAGCATTCTTTCCTCATTCCACTTTTATAATTAATGTTTTGTGATATATTTTATTAAAGTTAAATCACTATTGAATTAAAAATGCATTATTTTTTAAGATAACATAAAGCAACAACTTATACTTTGAAAATTACTTTCATTTCGTCGAATATACATTGCACGTATCATACATAATATGCTTGCAAGTTTTTCGTACCCGCTGATAATTTATTTTTTCCTACGTTTACACTTAAAGAGACTTTCTTTATACATACTTTTATCCACAAACCCACCACGATCATACATTACATTGTGTCAAGATATTTTTCTCATCTGACGCAAATACATGTATAGAATGACGTTGTGCTAATATGTTTTTGATGGTATAATGATCGTAGAGGGAAATGATATAGGAAATCAATAATGTATTAGCTTTATGAATGTCGCTGATAGAATATATGTGTACAGAGTTAGAGTTTACGCATATGCGCAACTATTAAATGGATTTATATCACGAACTAACTTAATAACATGGATTTACATACATCTATATGTAGATACATACATCTATATATATCTATCTATCTATATATATATATATATATATAAATATATATATATATATATATATATATATACATATATACATATATACATATATAAAGTTATGCCTGCAAGAACCAGCACGGGCGCGCGCACACACATACGTAGACAATCATTTTGTGTCTATCAAATTTCCATTAAAAAAAAAATGTTTTCCTTCTATTTTTTTGAATCCGTACATACAACTATATAAGTATATAAGAAAGCACCATATTTAATCATAATTTATATTTCATCAAAGACCAATTATCTGTCAAAAAATGCTGAATGTCTCTATGATTGTATTAAATAATATTTTTTACTGTATTTCTACCATTTGTTAATATTTTTTACGTTAGTTAATTTATAGGTTATAATTCTTAATAATTACAAAATAAGGTCAAAATTGATGGTGAGATGTGATAAAAGGATAAAAACATGGTTTTGTATAATATTTAAAAGTAATTCTCATAGATCACTTCCATAAATGTCATGTAACATTTGTATACTTATCAATCTACTTTATAAACAATTTATGCAGCTGCTTAGATTTCAATACACATTACTTGTATAATAATTACTTATATTGTGCGATACAATAATATCTGAAATTTATTCAAACATAATACTCCTCGGGATTTTTGCAATTCATTTAGAAATATCGCTGATTATTTATTTTTTAATATTCGAGAGAAAATTGTCGGAAAAATATTTCTCATTCGAAATATCACTAAACTCAATTTACAGGATTAAAGTTTTAACTATCAGTTCAAATATCGTTTACCCATCTCTTATAAGGATCTGATTAACGTCCATCACTCTTACGTTCAATATCTCATGTACACTTTACACTAAATCTATGATGAAACTTAAACGAAAGAAATATAAAGGTTCGCTAACGGAGTTTACACATAGACTAATCTATAGACCATTAATTAACGTCTTGCGGAAACCGGAGCAAGGAGTATAAGTCTGAGCGTCTGTCTACCTGTCTCGCCCTATCCTTGTACCTCTCTCTCTCTCTCTCTCTCTCTCTCTCTCTCTCTCTCTCTCTATCTATCTCTCTCTCTCTCTCTCTATCTCTCTCTCTCTCTTTCTCTCTGCCTATCTGTCTGTATAGAGAGACTTATCCTTGCGCTAAGATCATGCATAACGGATCCCCGCGCCAAGGGAGAAATTATCCATTCGGCCATGAAACGAAATCCTCGGGCGCGATTCCACTCGTACACGTTGTAAATATGTTTGTGCGATTGTGTGTTTGCCTGTACTTATGTAGGTAACTTTTAAAGGGACGGGACACGCGCATACAAGCCTTGTCCGCAGTTCGTGGGCTCGCGAACGTTTTACCGTTACATCGCGGTACGTGTGTAAGTACCTACGTATATATGTAAAGTGCCTCCAGCGACTTTTGATTAATAGTCCTGCTCTTTCTCCCCATTCTCTTTCCTACCCATTCTCTCTTTTTTTACCGGACAACGCGTCATGCGTGGAGATCCACGGATATTTATGACGCGGCTTGTCGCGGGCTTGGCTAACTCGAGGGAATCGAGCCAATCAGCGCCATACTATTGCCGCCCAATGTCTTCTCGACAGCTTACGATATGTTGAATGTGTTGTGCACAGATGCTCGATCATGTGAAAGCTTTGACTGATGTTAGAATCTAAGTATTGGAAAGGAAATATTATTGCGCGTGATGTGATCGGTGTACGTGTGCCAATTTTTCTCTTATCATGGATAGAAGATGATAATGCGATAACGCAGCTCAATGAGTTTGATAGATTCGAAGATGCTGAGTAGTTACGTAAAAACTGTGGGCTGTGGAGTGATGTTTTATCGAATCCTACGCAAAATGAAGATTTATGAAGTCTAAAGTTCTCTCAAAAGACTGGTAATTTATGCGATTATCGTAGTGCGTACGTACAAGTAAATGTCAATCAATCGCGAAGAAAGTGAACGACTGATCAATAAATGTCGTACCTAATAATGTATGCCCCCGTATCTTTTATGTTATAGGTTATACATAATTTCAATCGCGAAAGAGGTCAAAGTAAAAGTGATTGAAGTTCGAGACAATTTTAGAAGAAGTAAATTTATAATTTAGGTCACACTTTATCGTGCATTAAGATCTGAAAATCTCCAATTTATTTTATGAAAAATATACTGTGGTTAAGTTTTTGCTAATAAATTTACCCTTCAATACTTCTAAACTCTGATTTAATGATTTAAAGAATTTTTTAGATTATGAATTTTCATGCAAATTAAAAGATATAAATTTTTTTATTTTATCAGATAGTTTGGAGAAGTAATATCCTTTAGTGCATCATTAAAAGTTATTATTACGAAAAATCGTTTCGCTTTCACATATGTGTACTAAAATGTAAAACAAAGACTTTTACAAGCCTGATCACAAGCCATACGTTCAGTATTCTTGCAAAACAAAAAACTGAGCCTCGATAATGAGGGGTTTTGGAAGGCGATCATTGCACTAAGCAAATTCAACCAAGAAAGAACGAGGGAGATAGACATATATATATATATATAGATAGATACTGGATAGATAGATATACAGATGAAGACATAGAGAGAAAGAGAGAGAGAGAGAGAGAGAGAGAGAGAGAAACTTTTTATAAGCTTTAACAAAGGGTTTCCTCGATACAAGTTAATTTCGAATCACGTGCGCATCACAAGGAAGAAAGAAAGGATCTCTCTGGGGCATACTCGCGTACAAGCAAGCACAAAGAAAGTGAGACAGTGACTCTCTCTCTCTCTCTCTCTCTCTGTGTGTGTCTCTCTCTCTCTCTCTCTCTCTCTGTGTGTGTCTCTCTCTCTCTCTGTCTCTCTCTGTGCGTGTGTGTGTGTGTGAGAGAGAGGCATCCGTTTGCCACAGCTCTCTTGTACAGGTATGTGTAAGGAGAGACGGGGGAACGTGACGGGTGCTCCTGGCATCGCGTCGCTCCTCGCTCGAGAGGATCACGAGAGCAGCAGAGAGCCGATGCAGCCTCTTTCGCCTGACTTTCTTCGTTCACGAGAAACTGGATGCCTCGGAGATATCTCGAGGCTCGCGCGCTCGTCCGCTAAGAGCTATAGGTCGCGTGTGTCGAGGGCACGTGCACACTCACGCGTGCACACATACACAATGCGCGGGAAGATACGGCGACGGGAGACCGCGATTGCCTACCGTTCTCTGGCTCTCATGCGGTTTAACCGTGATGCTGCTGCTACTGCTGCTGCTGCAGCTTGTGTTGCTATTGCTGTTGTTTTTGTTGTTGCTGCTGCTGCTGCTGAGGCACCGATCGCCAGTAACTTTTATTTACTCAACGAGCGATCGCTGGATTTCCGAGCTCCTGCGTGCGTACGTGACTGTGCGCGCAACCGGGGCTTTTTGCAAGGAGATAATGCAGGGTTTTAATGAACGATGAGCGGAGACGATAAGCTCTTGGAAGATCCTGCCCAGGTTGAGTTTGGCGCGCGTGGCCCTCATTGATCTCTGCTTAATTGCGAATTGTTGTACTTATGGAAATCGAAGTAGGCTTTATTCGACGGATCAATTTAATCTGTGACGTGCGGAGAGGGGAGTATTTTTTGCACACCGCGAAGTGTGCTTACATGGATATAGGCGAATATGCTTTTCGCCTAGGCTGATCCTTTTTTAGGATGAATATTTTAAAAGTAGGAGAATCTTCGAGAGCCCATACGACTTGTTCTCCATGCCGGAAATACGATCTTTTTTTAACGTCGAAATAGCGTGAGAATTTTAATTAATATCTGTCGAGTTATCCAGAGTTGGAAGAGTTCACTAATACAGACTCTTAGAATTTTATAATTTGCTTTACATAATTTGCGTATTTATATAACGACTGTAGTTTCTCACAAATTTATCACTATCAATTAATTCTTCGACGCTTCAAGAATATATAA